ATATTATATTATATTATAATATAATTCATCGTGAAGCTTGGGCACACTCGCCGATCTGTCGAGCGTTTGCTCAAGGAAGGTGGGGGCTCTGCGAGAGCTTCTTGGTCATCGCCATGGAGGTCGCCCCAAACACAGCCTCCATGTTTGAGGCAGCACCGTGGAGACATGACAATGACAATGCCCTCCACTATGACCATGGTGATTTCGCAGAGCTTGAGGCGCACTTGAACTCTCAACCCACTTGGGTGGGTGATGCTGTTCGAAATCTTCTGCACGAGGAGATGGCTCACTCCCTCTCCAACATCCATGGGCAAGTTGCCGAGTACCACGACACGATTGCGAAGTTGTTGGAGATCAACCGTTCGGAGGATGCAGCCTGTCTGCGGCACTTGCTGAAAGATATCCCCATCTGCAGCATGAAGGCCTTAGACAACAATGCTTCTGCCGTCAAGAAAGAAGTAGCTCTGCTGCGGGACTTCGCTCGAAAGCCTGACCTTAAAAGCTTGGAGGGCCTTGCCCGGCGCATCGCCATCAGGGCTGGCACTTTCAAGAAGAAGTTCGCCGAGCTGCGCCCGAAGCTTGAAAGGCTTACTGCAGAGGTAGAGAAGATTCAGCGGAAATGTGAGGCGAACGCCGAGCAATCGCAGGAGCTCCTGCAGCAAACGGAGCGAAGGCGCGATTGGTGGTTCCGGCTTTTCGATCTGATTGGGAAGACCATGGCCTTGGGAAGTGGAGCTGTCTTGGCGGGCTCTGTGGGCTCACTGTGCTACTATGGCTATCTCTACCAAAGCAAAGCGGCAGCAATGGGAGCCGCCAAGACGGCCTATGCAGCTGCCAAAAAGCTCTTGACCGAGAAAGCAACGACGGCACAGGCGGCAGCGACAGAAGCGAGCGCGGCGAAGGCCACTGCTGCGGCAAAAGCTGCAGACGTGACAGCTGCAAACCATGCACTTCAGGGTGCCACTGGCACGGAAGTCGCAACAACTGGCGCCAGCACCCATGCTGGGCCCAAAGCTGTTCTTGCAAGCCTTGGGGTGGGAGCAGCAATAGACATCTTCCTCTTGCATGGAGTGTATGCGGCACACGTTGCATCGGAAGCGGCCTACGCGGCTGCTTCTGCAGCATCTAGTTCCTATGCGGCAGCGCAAGCGGCCATGGCTACAGCCTCCTCATCGGTCGCAGTGGCCACGGCAAACATCGAGCCACTCCAGGCGGCAATGGGCGCCCTGTCAATGTCGATGTGGGCAGTGGCACCTCTTGCAGTTGCGTCGGGTGTAGTCTTGGCTCTCTGCATGCTCGGCTATGCTGGCAGGAACGTGTTGAAGCGGATGCTTGGGAAGATTTGGGCGGATGAGATCAGGGCTCACGAGGCTAGCCATACAACCTTCAAGCACATGGCAGGGGTGCTGAAAGATGCAGTGGAGAAGTTGAGGGCTTCCAGTCGCTCCAATGAGAAGCTCGAGGAAGCCTTTGCTGTTGTTATGGAGGCTGCCGAGGAGCTTGCAACCCAGGCAGAGTGTGGCCAGTCCTTGCTCCTGGATGACGACTTCGAAGCCTTAGATCTTCAAGTGGAAACGGTCGCCAGCTCGTGCGAGAAGGCCGCCGCCGCCTTTACCGAGATGCAGAGCCGCCTGGAAGTCGTCTCCAAGGTTCGGATCCTCGCCTATGACCCATCGGATGAGCAGCCAGCCCCAGTAGGTGCTTGGCAGGACCCCATGTGTAGAGAACGTTCGCAGTCTGAGCATGCTACATGTTTGTCTCAGTTCAAGCGATGTTCGATGACGTCTGGCGCATCCCTTTGTCTGCAGGAGGCACGCGCGACTGAGGAGCCCGAGATCATCCCGGAGGAGGCTGAGCAGCTGCCTGAGGAGGTTGCGCCCGAGGCCGAAGACGAGTTCTTCAGGGATGGCTGGATCCTCGTGGAGTCCAGTCCTCTACGACAGGCTTCGGCAGGGGCAGCAGCACCCAATGTGTGCGTTGCAGAGGATTGCGTTCCCGGCGGTACATACATGCTGGTCCCCATTGAGTGGGCTGCAAGATTGTCGAAGAGGTCTACGTGCTTCGCAGCTGGTCCAGATGGCAATCGCATGTGTGAGGTCCTCCTGCAGAAGCAAGCCAACCGGCAAGTCGCAGCCTTTGCCTTGCAAGAGGGTGGCCGCATCCGAGTTACAGGTGACCATCCCTTTCGTGTATGCCGCTCTGGATCGTGGATTCACGAGCAGGCCCGCGGCCTTCAAGTGGGCGATGTGGTCGTGACATCAGCAGGTGAAGAAGAAGTAGTGCAGCGCTACCCCGCCAGCTTCAGCGATGAGGACGTCTTCGCTCTGAACATCTTCCAACATCCAAGTTATGGCCGTGCAAGCGAGATCTTCATCTTCACACCCAGCCAGGGCAAGAATGGACAGTTCTCCTTCTCTGGCGTGGCAGTCTTGGGTACAAGTGGCCCTGTGGGAGACTTTGACATACAAGCTCCTCGCTCCTCTTCCGCGCCGCCGCGTTTGCGTGATTTGCCTTCTGCTGGGTCTGTCCATCATCCACGGGAGGGCCGTTGCCTCAACGTGTGCAAGCAATTCCTCCGAAGCGGGCAGTGCAGCCGTGGCCGAGAGTGTCATTTCTGCCACTTGCCTCATCCCGAGGAGTCCAAACGTAGCTACCGTGGCCCCAGGGCCGAGCGGGGATAAGCTGAGAGCTGCTGTGCGCATAGTGCAGGCTGCATGCAGCCCTCAGCGCTTCTCCCCTGCTATTTAGTGTTTGTCCTTCCCACTTCAGCTGGAACGAGCGATGCTCGATGTTAGACTGCTGCTAGTGGGAAGGTAGGTTTCCAGTTCCGAGTCTTCAGTCTCCGCCATGTCTCCACCATGTCATCATGCACCGACACTCTTCGTACCTTGCAGAGACATGAAGATAAGGCCGCCTCTAGGCCAAAATCCGGGCGAGCACCGAGCGGCAAGCCGGAGGCAAAAAGGGTACCATGTGTACCATGCCAAGAAGGTGCTGACAATAGCTATGAAGACTCAAAGGCTGGTACGGTGCAAGAAGTTGCATAGATGCTTGTGGATACCTCAGTGATCTTGCAAGATGAAGTGGCTGCCTTTGGCCGAGGCGGTGCAGACGAAGCTGATGCCGACACAGAGCGCAGCCTGGTGACGGGTGGCTTCGAGAAGTTTAAGACCCGCAAGAGGCTGCAAAGGCAGCTCAGGTCTCGCCCCGATTGTGAGTTCGTAGTCCGTGGATTTGTAGATGAGCAAGAAAGTGAAAGCAGAAGTATGGGGCATCGTTCGGGCGTCAGTGGATGGAGAGTCGTCGAGTCGTGGCTTTTTCATCAGCCGGGTTTTGCTTTTTTTAACAGAGAGCATCTGTTGAAGGCTCCGGAGCCGACAAAGGGTTTCATGTGCTGAAAAGGGGCGGCCGGCAGAATGCATGGGCACGCTGCTTCATGACGCAGGAGCACGTCCCGAGCTCCCAGGCTAAGTAGAAGCCTGAGAACGAAACAGGAACGAAAGAGGAGAGAGAGACAGACAGACAGACAAGGGAGAGAGAGAGAGGTCACCACAAAGGGTTGGGCATAGCCGAAGAAGCCAAACAAGGGACATGACAAGCACCTGCACAGTGGCATCGTCAGTCTAACTGCGTTCTGAAGGATAAAGCAGGAGAGATCCGGGGAAGAGGAAGAAGGAAACATGAAACCAGGGACATGTAACAATGTGGCTCTAGACCGGACCCCAAACCCTAAGCCGCTTTGGCAGACATGCTCACCCCGAGACCATGGACATGGGACGTGAGGCTTCAACTTCGAAGCAGGTGATAGAGGGAGGCCGATTCCAGCTATTGCATCCCAGGGCCCGAGCCCGTAAACCCGAAAGACATGTGATACCATCAGTTGAAGTTGAAGGCATCTTCGATCGTTGTGACTTTGTGACTTTTCGCCGAAGCATTGGCTACACCTCACTGCCCATGAGTGCCTCTCTTAACACATGGAAGATCAAGGCAATGCTGGAAAGTATATATCACAACAGCGGCCATCTAATGCTTCAACAGCAAAGACTTTGGGGCCTCCCCAAGTTTGATGACAACGACGATGCCTCTATGCGGCTTACCGGTACAGCAATGAGGACCTAAACCCCTCACCACTAGAGCAGCTCACGAAAACTGGTCCAAAACGCTGCTAGTCACAAGAAGGCCCACAACATGATTCTGCCCCGTGCCCTGGGCACCTAGCTGAATGCCGCTTTGCAGGCCGAGCGGCCATGTTGTGGGATGCAAATCCTTGCAGACGACATCTACTGCATCATAATACATGCTGAGAACGGCAATGGATGGACGATCTTAATGATGACGAGGCTCACACAATCATTGCCATCTGTAGAGCAGACAGACATGATAACGGTGGGGCTGGTGCTGATCCTCGCACGAAAACAACTGCTATGAACAGAGACAGTGCAGATATGTGCAGGTCAAAGAGACAGTTAGATCTGCTACGAGAAATGGCAAGGGGTCAATACGTGGCTCTCCTTCACGTGTTGTCCAGGCTCAAGCACTGGACAGAGACGAATCCGACGGTCGGCGCCGCAAGCGTGCCGGTCGTGGAGGTCGCTGGAATGCGGCTTGTTAACCGCTACCACTGCTACTACTGCTGCTACTACTACTACTACTACTACCACCATTACTGGTACCTTTATTACCACTATGACACATGCTACTATTCCAAGTCCAAGTACTAGCTCCGAGGAGAAGACTACCTCAGTCTCGACGGGTCGGCTTCATGTTGGCACTAAACCCCAAGCCCTAGACGGTTTAGGGTTTAGGGCTGATCTTTGTTGATATTGCTTGCAGGGAGCCCCGTCTTGGAAGGTATTTGCTTCAACAAAAGGAACTCTGCCAAAGACCTCTCAAACGGCCCACGAAATAGAAGAGTCGTCATATCCCAGTTCTGCGCAGGCTGCGAAGGATATGGGGGAGGACGTCGCCGCCCTTGCTAAGCTGCACACATCCGCGTCGAGTGTTCATGCAATGGGCAGTCTTCAAGCATTGCCCAAGTTGCGAAAGGACCATCACCTGACAATCCACACCCCGCATGTTGCGGCGGCCGAGCCCGCATCATCCGTGCCAGGTCCCTCCCTCATCGAGCTGGATTTGGTTTAGGGTTCAGGGTTTAGGGCGGATTTGGTTTGGGAGTTTCCAGTTTGTTGTTTTAGGATGTAGCCTGCGCGACGTCGCTTAGCCGCCAGGAGTCTCCCGCAAAAGCTCTGAGCCTAAAGTCCCCAAAACCAGAAAACTCAGGCCCAGAGCACCCAAAGTGCTCTCATTCATTCGGAAGTCGGCTCCTCCTTTTCGAAACTGAACCCTAAACCCTAAACCCTAAACCCCTAGGAGCCCCAAGCCGTAAACCCTAGCCTCAAACCGCCAGGCCCCCTAGGCCCTCTAGGCCCTCTAGGCCCTGAACCCAAGAAGTTCAAGAAGGACAGTCACACGTGCAGGCGAGTCCGCGAAAGTCGTGCTCATTGCTCCCTGGGCATGTGGCCATTTCTCGAAGTTGGGAGAGTTGAGGGATTAGGGTTTAGGGGTTTGGAAGTAGAGCAGAGTCTTAGAAACCTGACTTGAGTCTTGGAACCTTGCACATGCAGAAGAACAAGTACCCTAAACCCTAAACCCTAATCCCCTACACCCTAAACCCTAAACCCTAGAGCATGCAGAACATTTACGTTCGCAGTAGTTCTTCGAGGAGCTCCTACGCCGTAAACGCCTTTCCCTACTGCTGTTGATAGTCTCTACTACACCAGTCATCACGAGATGTGTCTGTCTAGTTTGTCGGCTTTGCTGATTGAAAGCAGGCCGTCCACGTCGATGTCCACGGTCCTTTTTTGTGTCGGCATAACGGAGGGTGCAAGGTCGAAGAATCGGAGTCTATGCTAACCGTGCTAGGGGGCGGCATGTGGAGATATTATCGTATATTATAGTATATATAGTATATTCTAGAGCCAGACGGAGGCGCCTTGGCTTGCCAGGCCACCTGCATCTTGGTCGATGCCATGGCCCCCCTCCTGCAGGACTCCGTTTGAAAGCGAGCGCACTCTCAAAGGGACATGCCTAGGCCCCCGAGCGCCTGAAACGCTGGAGCTGAAACCCGAAGCCCCTAAACCCTCAAACCCGAAAAACCCCCTAAAACCCTAAATCCTCAAAAAAGCCCCAAGCCCTAAAACCCTAAACCCTTAAAGCCCCAAACCCTAAAACCCTAAACCCGCCCAAACCCCTAAAACCCCGAACCCCTAAACCCCACACCCGAAGCCCCAGCGGCTTCACCCAAGCTCCAAAATCCCTAAACCCTAAACCTAAGCCCTAAACCCTAAACCTAAGCCCTAAACCCTAACCCCTAAACCTTTAAGCCCTAGTTAAAGCCTAAAGTTTAAGCCCCAAAGCCCAGAGCCTTGAACCCGCGACAAGGAGCAGGCCTCCAAAAGCCAGCTTCCAAGGAGGGATCCGTTTGCCTTCGAGGGATTCGGGCTTCTTTTTTAGGGGATTCTAGAAGGGGGGCTTCCTTTAAGGGATCTATAGGGGTTTAGGTTTCCTTTTAGGGGGATCTATGAGGTCGGCTTCCTTTAAGGGATCTATAGGGCTTTAGGTTTCCTTTTAAGGGGATCTAGGAGGGGGGCTTCCTTTAAGGGAGCTGTTGGGGATTTTGGGCGGATCTATAGGGGGCTTCCTTTAAGGAATCTATATGGGTTTTAGGGTCTTCGAGGGTTTAGAGTTTAGGGTTTTAGGGTTTGGGGTCTAGGGTTTATGCGGTTCGGGGTTTTGGGCTGAGTTTCTTCAGCGCGCTCTAGGGCTTACCGTTCAGCTGCTTAGGGTTCAGGTTGAGGGTTTTAGGCTTCAGCTGCCTGCGCTTTGCAGCCTGGAAGCCTGTGGTTGCCAAGGCTTTCCGGGCTACTTCATGGTGCTTGCCGCAGTCTCAGTCCCTGATGTCTGCTTGTCTTCTGCAGAGCTCTGCAGAGCTCCTTACACCTCCAACCTATCCCCGATACCATCTACACGAAGCCCTATGGACGCTGTTTCGCACCCCTATAAACCCTAAACCCAGTAAACCTAAACCCAGTAAACCCTAAACCCAGTAGCCCAGTAACCCGGAAGCTTGCAGGCCGAGACCGTGACGTACTTTTTTGGTGGCCTGTCGTTGGCCATCATGCGCGAAGGCCCCAAAGCTCCGACTCTGCTTCGTGGCTTTTTAAGCTCTAAAGCCCTAATAAGCCCGAAAGCCCTAAAGTCCTAATAAGCCCGAAAGCCCGAAAGCCTAAAGCCCCGAAGCCCTAAAGCCCGAAAGCCCTAAAGCCCGAAAGCCCTAAAGCCCGAAAGCCTAAAGCCCTAGAAGCCTCAAGAGCCCACATGGCAGGCCTTACGGGCATGAGGAGATGTCTCAGACCATGGAGGCGCCCCGATGCAGAGGGGATCCTAAAGCCACCGAGACTCTGATTTTTCAGAGATCCCAGCATCCAGAGATCCCGAAGGCCCTATTCCTTTTAGGGCTTCGGCTCTAGGGTCACGGGTATATCCTAAGGCTCTATTCCCAAAGCCTTAAAGTTCTCCTTAACCCCACATCCTTCGCACGTCCCTGCTCACGGGAAGTCGGAAAGACGAGACCCTGAACCCTTAAAACCCCGAACCCTAAACCCTAAACCCCAAACCCTTT